ATCAATTACCATTCACTTTACTTTTAGTACGTGAACATTTATTGGTTAACTTCTCTCTACCCTTACTTGTTAAGGCATAATATAAAATACTGTATAGGCTATATACAATATTTTTTCATAAACTTTTTTGCAATATGTTATTCATTATATCGCAAACACATACATTATTGATAATGAATTGGAAATTAATTTTGTATGATGATAAGCAGTCTAATTTATCTGGAAGCTAAGTGTTGTTTCTAATTAATGATAGCAGGCACTTCAATTTAATGAGATGCAAATAAAAGTTCGCAAAATCTAGACATACGCAGAGAATATTTAAAATATATAATATAACTTAAAGTATAAAATTTTACAAGAATTAAATATACTGTGTATCATTTATTTAAATAAATTAAATAAATAAATGCCAACGCTTTTTCACATAAATTTTAAAATGCCAACATTAAAACTTATAACACAATCAACTAAATTATAACTTATAAATATTCTGATCTACTTAATTACTGGATTTTACATGATCACATAATTCAATGTTTTGATTCATAACAACCCAGATTATAAATTGCAATTTTACTAATTTCTTTATCTGAGTACATTAACCAAATATTCGGCATGGAATGACCAGGAAAGAAGAACTAAACTGAATATAAATAGGATGGATCTATATAAAATTAAAAAATACTGCAGAGGCGTATATTTTTAATAATATACGCATTAATTGCAGGTCTGTTCTATGTCAAATGTAAAAAATTAATTTTAAATAAAATATTTTATATTAAAAATGGTGTAAAGAATTATTTTTTCTTCTTTATCTTTTGGTAGATCGTTAAGTTGGTTCCGGTTGTCATGGCTACGTTTTCAAATGTTCGTTTAGGAATTCCTTCTAGGGATTGTGAATCCGAATTTGGTTCAAAACACAAAATGAGTTTTGTAATGTCTTTTAATACGTTTTTAACGTCTGGAAATAAATTTTGAGAATGCTAAAAACGTTTTGTTCTACTTTATGTTGTTAATAAACTCTGATAAAGTAATTAAAATGAAGTTATTACTCAATGTCTTGTTATCGTTCAGGTTATATAACTTCAACAAAATTATAAATGTAACTAAGCATCTGTTTCTTGATTATGCTGTTTTATTTTTAGTGTTAGCATCTATCTTAATAAAAAAAACGTTGTAAATTTTTAATTAGAAGATAGATGTACAGTACATATTCGTATGTAACATTTACATAATACATTTACATGGCATTAAAAACTGAATTATGAATATATAATTTTTCAATCAATACAGATCTAAAATTCAGCTCTTAACTTATAAATTATAGCATAGAAAGGGGGATAAATTCCAAAAGAAAATAATGTAAAATTATTCTAATACAATATATTTAAAAACAGTCCAAATGAAAAATGATATTTATACATACACACTCCCACACACATTATATACTATATATAAAACCAATAACATAAATTGTTACAACTTAACATTAGCTTTTAAATTTCAAATAAATTTGATAAATTTTTCAATATTCAAAAATATAAATGCAGTTTTGAACTATTGCATAGAATGAATATTTAAACATGGTTACTATTAATACTACTAGGAATATTTCAATTTTATCTTATTTATAATGTGTTGTTTATCATTAAGTTATTTAGCTGATTTTTAAGATTCATCAGCAAGACAGCAATAGAAAAATAAAATCTATTACCACAATCAACTGGCAGAGACTTGAAAAAAAAAGTATAAAAAAATTATTTTTTATTGTAAAAAAAATTTTTTAAATAATTAGAGTTAACATTACTAAGAAATATCTATTGAAAAAATTGTTAAAAAGGAAGAAAAGATTAACACTAACACTTGATATTGCATCATAATATCATGTTTGAGATAACAATGTGGTACATTAAATAAATTTTTTTTTTAATTACTACTACTAAAAAAATTTGAACTATTTCATGTACTGTACTATTTTTATTAATATTATTATTATAAACATAATTAATAATATTGTTTGGTTTAGTATTAATACATCAGGCTTTGAGATGTTTATATATTTATTAATATATCTGTCAATTTAATGACCTCCGAGTTATAACTTTCAAAAACTATACAAAAATATGTCAATAATAAGCAAATAATCAATTTGTTAATTCAAAACATATCTTTTTCTCTGAAGTAATTTATAATTAATAATTATGTTCTATATAATGCTAGGAAAAAGTGATAATACAACACAACATTTTTTCTTTCAAAACACTACTGATAAAATATTTCTATATCTCATAATATAATGTTATACTTTAAAAGCTGTTATAATACATAAACAGAAAATATAAAAATTCTATTAAATTAGTAAGACAGAACAGTAGCATTTAAGATTTTATATAAAGATCATAAAAATAAGTTTTTGTCAATCATTTTAAAACTGTTTCAGATTATACTTAATTATAAATTTCTAATTATAATCGAAAATACACACTTTATTAAATATGAGAAATATAACTGGGTTTAATACTAATATCGTATCAGAATTTAAAAATTTACAAATTAGCACTTTAAATTAAAACAAAGCAATGTTTATAGATTACTATTACTGATTAAAAATTTACTTTTAAAATAGTCTAACTTTTAAATTTTTCATTACTCTAAAATCTCATTTTTACATAAATCAAATTTATTTCTTTCAACTTTCCAGTTATTACTTAATATCCTAGTAAAATTCAACATTAAATTTTGGACTTGAAAATTAAAACAAAGGAAATCATTAACATGAAGAGGGGAGAAATACAAAAATCAATATATTTACTTGAATATTTTATTTTAGAAATCATACTTTATAACAAATTGATAGAATTTAAAACTTTTATGAGACATCACATTTTATAATTATATTTTATAATCATCAAATAAGATGATGTCTTATAAAATTTTTAAATCATATCAATTAAAAAGAGATTTAATATCATCATTTACTATATATTTTCTTATAAGGTGTTGTAATTTTCATTGTTTAAATATCTACCACCTGTTGAACAGATTCATTTTGAAACTTCAAACTTTGATGTATCAGCTTTGAATGTTACTGTCATATATAAGAAACTTTTGTCTAGTCCAAAGTTATCTATCTTGGCACGTATTGCTTTTAAGACTGCCAGCATTAAATATTCAAGCCAACATACACAAATAATTTGAATAATAATGAATTTAAAAAAAAACTACACTTTTTTTTTGGAATGTGTTTATTAAACTTATCAGCTAAAAATTTTACATTGAAATTTTTGACACGAATTAGTACCATATGATCATATACTATAGTTAGTAACAGTCATATAGTATATAATTTTGAATTTTTCATGACTAACTCTTAATACATTATATATATTTAATCCAGAAATTTTAGAATGTAAAAAATTGAGCCTTAAATCTTCTGAACAGCAATTATAATAAAATTGAGCCTTATTAATTTAACTGTTAAAATTGGATATAATAAAATTTTTAAAAATTTATATGTTTACACATTTGCCAAAGTATTAAAAATAAAAATTTGTACTACAGAACAATATTCTGTTGCAAAATTTAATAAAACTTAAATATGTAACTGAAAATATTAACCGTAACTAATAAATATAATATTAGTATGACATCTATCATATTTGAAACACATTTTTTATTTTATTCAGGAGGTGTTGAAGTGTTTTAATAAAAGTAATTTTTTTAAATTTTTATTTAATATAAATGGCAGATTTAAAATACCAGAACCAGACCATACCAGATTTTAATGTCATTAAAATCTGGTATAGTCATCTGTTACGAAAATTTCACAATCCCAAAAAATTTAATACTTGTTTTGTTGTAAATATTATAAAAAAGAAATACTCTAAGCTTAATTGAATATCATTATTAAATAATTCAATAAAGATAAATATTAATATTCTATATTGCTAATATAATTTAAGCTTTACAACTGAAAATTTTAATTACATATATTTATATAATTAAAATTTAATGGTAAAGCATAATAATAAATTTTTGGTTTTGTGTATTTAAATATACAACATACACAAATAGCCAAAGATTATATATATATATGTTTCAAATTGATAAGTGTGTTATTTAATTTATAAAATTTGGATATTTAAAATAATTGTTGATGTGTAAGCCATTAAGGACAAGGTCAAATCTTAGAATTCTTTATCACTTTATCACTGAAAGTGTATACAGATGAGATAAGATAGTCGATTATATTAAGAATAAAATAAAATATTCTGACGACAATAACAATAGTAAACGTGACAATCTTACCATTGCAAATCCAGATAACAATGCGGATGTTCTGCTAGATGCTTTCAACTTTGCTCTACTCAAATGCAATCTTCTCCAAGAGAGAGCGTGAACAGAATTCTCGGGTTTTGTCATTTCTTTCATCAAATTTTGCATAAACCACTCGGATAAAACGTTTGGTCTGTGACTGGAATCAAAGCCCAAAATGGCTTCTCCGCAATTAGAAGGATTCATCGGTGGTAAATCGCTATAAATAACATTCTTTTGTTTCAGATCTTCCCATTCAACCTATAATAAATAAACTATAATCCGACTGTTGAGAATGAAAAATGTTGATTCGTTCCGTCCGACGACGATTCTCTTTATAGCTTTAAAGATGGCGGCCTCGGATTTTTCTTTCGTCCAATTGTGTAATTAGAATAGATGACTAATCTCCAAACTGATTTATAATATAGTATACATGTTATTATTATTACTTACGGATTATAATTAAATATTATAATACAAAAGTTGTAATTTGTTATCTTTCTCGCTGTAATAAAAATATACGAAAGAAAATTAAATAATTTAATTTTATACTATTCTATAAGACTCGTGAAATATTTATAAATTTTATTTGGTAAAATTTTTAAACATTAAAATTTTTCCGTTTTGTATCGTTTCGGTTTCTGACGTTTTTCTCGTTAGGAGAAATCGGCCATCCGTCACGTGATCTTTCCGGTGACGTCACAATACACACACACAAAAGTTACATCGAGTTGTCGTTTTTTGTTGGTGATGATGATTATAAATATCGACGACTTTTATTAGATATTTGGATGAAACAATTACAGATCAAGTTAACTTCAATGGATGATCAACAAGAAACGGGTCGCAAACTGGTTAGTATGGGAAGCCCATCTTTAAACCTGCAATTCCCTATTTAAGGTTGGCCTTTGATTTTCCCGTCGCAGCCATCTTGTGGGGGTGCCATGTGCTTTGACTCGAAATGACACGGGCGGGAAAGTATTTTGTGAACTTGATAGACATAAATGGATAAGTTTATAACAGGATCAAAAATAAAGTCGATGTAGTGTGTTAATATGGACCGGTGTTAGAGATTTCTAAGCACTTTTTTCCTATATACTTATATACACATCATATGCGACACGATTGTCATGTTCATTCCCTTCCCCCTCAAACAATTGACAAGTTTGGAACAGAATCCTTATTTTAAATGTTTTTATTAAACAAATATAATAACGAACTTCTTAGGCAATTTCTTTATTACAGTATACATTCTGTCTACAGTAATCTGCAATAGATGCACAGTATAAAATTTTTCTAGCAACAAAGTTTTTCTTTTATGAGCCTATATCAATAATATGAGTGCAGTTTTTTAAATCAAATTATATCAAAACGTGTAATGTTTTGATGTTAATATTAATTTGAACGCAGTTTTCTTCATCTATTCGTGTTTTGTATTATTTTAATAGCATATATAATAATTGAGAATTTGAGCAGACTGGAAAGCAAGGGTCATATCTTAAATTTATTTATTTATTTATTTTTTAATGAATTCTTTGATATTTTAAGAGGGACGAGTTTTTTAAGCAATAAATTTCGTTATAAAGAAAGGAATTTATTTTATAATTATTTTCTAAACACGTAACAATAGTTAACTTTTCTGAATAGTTCAATTTCATTTCATATATATATGCCTTTAGATTGAAACTTACGAGTAATAGTCGTGTATTGTTCTATAGTGAAAATTGTTTAAATTATACGAATTTTTGACATGTCTTAATGTATAAATTCTCTCGAAAGGTATAAATTTTGATAGTTTTAATTATAAATGCTACTTAATAACATAATCAATATTAATATAAAGCTTAAAGATTATCGAATTGATTTTCTTCATTACTGATCTTACTCATGACAAAATCTTCTGTGACTTGTTCAAATGGATGAGGATTTATAACAAATTAAACAAAAACTATATATTTTCTTTGCTGTAATTGAAATTTTTTCACGCCAAACAAAACATGAGGCTGCATTTCTTGATACACTTCCATGTCTTCGCTATTTATCATATTTATTGTATATGGGGTAGCTCGATCAAGTAATTTGACAGCTGAATAATAGGAAACTTCCTTGATTAACTGTTGCTTGTGAATTGAAAAGATATTCGTGAAATGTTTTCTCGTATAAGTTCCCTTTTATAATCGCATTTTTAACTTATTAAATATAAAATAGAAAATATTCATTTATTTAACTAGTTTATTTGTATTTGCCTAGAAATAATAATTAAATGTAAATTTTATGTATTTTTAAAGAATTGGTGTAGTACAAAAATGGAGAGTGAGTCGAATTTCATGTTCTAACTTAACTTATGATTAAGTAGTGTAAAAATTAATTCTGTAAGGAATAATGTTTAAAATTATGCCATGATACTTCGCGTGTAATTAATTGGCTTAATTTAAATCAGTTTTAATGAAGTTTTTTGTTATTTTATAAATGTTAGCATGAAATTTAATATATGCTGTTGGATGAAATTAGGGAGAATGTTTCTGAATCAATACACATACAATATTAGAGTTGGATAGTTTCGTACTCTGCTACGGCACTGCAGTACAATCAAATCCATCTACTATAATAAAATTAAAATATTTATGATTGTGAATTCAAGAATTAGCCTTACATACAAAAATGACTGTACTTCATGTTATATTTTTTATATCATATATAATTTCACTTCCTATACGAGCATCTTGAGAGTGAACTTGTAATTAATTGTAATTAAATAAACATTAATTAAATAAATTATCATAAATAATAATAAACATATTTAGTCTGTATTTTACTGTAAACAAAGAAATCGTATACGGATGCACTGTTGAAATAATAATCACAGTTAGGCAAGTGTTTGTTGTTCATATGACTACATAAAAGTGATATATTAGTGTACTGTTTTCAAGTTTTAATATAATTAAAACTAATATTGATAAAATTAAAGAAATTTAATGGTATAAATTTATAAAACTTTAATAATCACAAAAGATGAATAAATTGCTTAATATCTGAAGAGGCTAGCGTGTATAAAGAATTTCTTTGTTTTACGATAATATTCAAGGTTGATGGCACCAAGTTTTCAAGGACATTAAAATTTTAAACGGATGTTTAAAGTGTAGTTTGAATGATATCATCGTAATTATTAATCTTAACACTAGAACAACATTTATTTATCAGAAATCAAACTTCTCTCAATTACGCTATCTTCAACGAATTATACTTTTAATGAATGGATTAATAATTATTTTAAGATGATCATAATCAATTTTTTTTTAATTATTATTGTTTTCGCTCTCCGTGAATACCGATTTAAAGCATAATTTGTTCAGTCAATTCTCGTAGATATGAATCTATCATTCTTTATTGGTTTTCGAAGTTCGGCATCCTTTCAAATGTAATTAATGCCTGAATTAACGTACGCAATTAAAACATAAATCTTCAAGAAATTGAATTTCGATTTCTAATCATTAAAATAAATCATAAACATTTTGTTTATTCGAGTTCTCAATTGAAAGATTGTTGAGGATTTAACATTATATCAGTCTATTGATGAAAGTGGCATTAAGTTCTTCATGCAGCAGATTTTTTTCCGCATTTCTAATACTAATGAATATTATCATTAATTAAGCTCGCATTAATTCTGCTTATTTCGTATTTAATTTGGCTTTATGTCATCAATGCATCCATATTATTTAATTATTTGGTTATTCAAGCGTTCTCGAGTATACATTAACAGATTTCTATAATCTGTTAATGTATACTCCAGAACGCTTCAATAGACTTATTTTACAAACTAACGTATGCTTATCGAGATTTTTATCTTTTAGGAATTCCTTTTCTACTTTGTATTGATTATATTTGACGATTGAGTATTAAATTCGTTCAACAGCAAACATTTAATTTCAAAAATGGCGTCGGTCACATGATTCTTATAAACTGATCCCTTTCATGGAGCGTTATGATGATGTATAATTGGAATTGTTAAGATATTTTAATACGATTTTCGACCGAAAATCTTTAATAAGTCGATGATTTTATTTTACAATATGTTTTCATTTTGTATAAATCGAAGTTCAAATGTTAAAAATATAAAATATTATAATGATCGATTAGATAATAATCTTTTTGTTCTTATTGCAGCAGCATATATGATTTATCTGAAAATTTTGATGTAACTAAATAAAATAATTTTCGTCGAAATTATATTTTAATCGTATTAGAATTTTGATAATTTAATAGTTTTTGTATCACTTAAAAACGTTAGATAAACCTGTTATTTAGTACCTTTTTAATTATTATATTTATTATGATTACAATTTAGTTCTAAAACCTTGCATATTCAGTTAGGATGAGTCTTTTTATATAATAACTGCATTGTTCGAAGATTATAATAAATGGACTTTTTATAAATTGCGAATTTATACTATTTCTTATGTTAGATCATCGATTTACGTATAACATTTTAGTATAAAATAAATGGATCTTATATAGGTTCAATTTTCATAAATTAATCAAAAAATTTTTATTTATCTACTAGATTAGTAATGAAAAAACACGATTTTTTTATTTTATAACGATATACGTGTGCATTTTAATAATTTAATTAAAGAAAATTCGTAAAATAGATTCTGTCAAATAACTTTAATTATATGCTTTAAACGAAATTCAAATTCGGAAAAAAAATGTTCGTTTGCATACTAAAATCATTGCTAATTTATTTGAAATTATGTAAAAAAGACAAACATATATAGATCATATGCCATAGGCTGAAACATAATCAAATATCCTTTTAAATAGGCACCCATTTATGCAAATTTATTTAAATATAATTCGAAGTGTATTCATTTTTATTTACGTTGTCCCGATTATAACAAAAAAACACATCATTAAGCGATCTTTAAATTTTTCTACAAAGTTTTATTTACGAGAACGCATTAAAATACGAAAACATCTTAATTATGACTCAGCTTTCAAAATGGCCAAGAGGTTTGTGTCATATGTATAAATATACGAGTAGAAAATAGAAATTTGATCAATTCATTTTAATAGAAAATAATAATGTTGGAATTCGGCAAACATTCAAAATTACGCCACTTCACACCAAAATTGTTCTTTGGATAGGGATTAAAATGGGGAATCAGAAATCGATTCTTCATGGAATCTTGAGGAAGTTCGATTCTTTGTTCTCAATTTCTTTCTCTCTTACTATATTTGAAATGAGGCTTAATGAAGAGATAAATTTTGCTGATCATCTCAGAATTNTGCGTTTCACAAAAATTCATATTAATAAATTATAAAGGTATTTGTAAGAGTTTTAGTCGATAGAATATCGATTTTTATAGCAAAAATGTTACAGACAATGCGAATTTTTGTCGTAAACAAATAAAGAATGAACCTATCAACAGAAAGGAAAATAGTTTAAAATATTTTAGTTTTAATAAGTCATTTTACGTGTATTCATTTCTTAAATATTTTACATTCTTTGCTATTTATTAATATAAAAAGAAAATGTATTCATGCAATATCTTAAATAATTTAGATAATATGTGAACATTATGAAATATTAAATGAAAGAAATGCATTTAATTATCGTTATATCTCATAGTTCCTTATTGATTTTTTAAAATTAATTAATGATCTTTTTTAGAAATAAAATATTTCTGCTGTCTTAAAAAACACTTTTATTGGATTTATGTGCGAGCTGTCTTTTAGTTAATCAATATTTCTTCATAGTATTTTCATCCACCCATCAAACGTAACAAAGTATTTAATCTGTACAAATGAGGCCAACATCAAAATTGCTTTTGTAGAGAAATGGTTAATATTTCAT